AACATGCTGGTGCCCGAAGGCATGCGCACTGTGGTGTGGTGGTCGCAGGCGCACTGTGGGCGCTCGCAGGCCATTGCGGCGCTCGCATGCGCGATGCTGGTGCTTGCGGGCTTTGCGCTTGTACTCGAATCGTCGTCGTCGTCGTCGTCGTCGTCGTCGTCGTCGTCGTCGTCGTCGTCGTCGTCGTCGACGGCGCCCGAAAACGGCCTCCGGAGGCCGAAACAGGCGGCAAACGTCGTCGTCGTCGTCGTCGACCTCGTCGCTCGTCGCTCGTCGATCATCGTCGTCGCGCGCGCGGGCGCGGGCGTGGTGCCGGGACCACGCGGCGGGCTTTGCGCTTGTACTCGAATCGCAAGCCACTGTGGTGCTCTCAGGCAGAGAGTGCTGCTCGCGCGCATACTATGGCGATCGCAAAGCGCCCCTGCTTCGCCATACCCCGCCCAGCCCAAGCGTTACCGTTACCCGGGGGGCACGACCCCCCCCCCCCCCCCGGGTAACGAGCGTTACCGGCCGGAATAAAAAAATGATCTCAGGTCATTCGGACACTCGTAGATTCCCTGGTCTTCACGAAGGCGCTTCCCATCCATGGTCCAGGCACGTCCGTACGACAACCAGGCATTGACAAGCAAATTGTTGTAAGACCTACAGCGCTGCTGCGGCCCATCATTAGCTCCACGCTCGCTCCGAGCTTCCTTCGATCGTCCCCTGGAAGCCCAGAAGAACTCTTCTTTTCCGCATCCTGATCCGCATTTCCGAGCTTTCGCTGGCATCTCCAACTCCAACCTCGCTCTGCCTCCTGTCCGTTGGTCTGACTCTCCAAGATCTGGTCGGACGAATGGGAGGAGGAGGAGGAGGAGGAGGAGGAGGAGGAGGAGGAGGAGGAGGAGGAGGAGGAAGAGGAGGAGGAGGAGGAGGAGGAGGAGGAGGAGGGAGGAGAGGAGGGGAGGAGGAGGGGAGGAGGAGGAGGAGGAGGGGAGGAGGAGGAGGTGAGGAGGGGATTGGGAAAGTGGAGGTTCGAAGTCTACTGCATTCCGCGGGTTTCCGCCCCGCCGCCGGGCGCTTTCTTCGACACATGGGCGCCCCGCGAGGAGCCTCCTCACTCGCTCAAGCCACACGCCGCCCAGCGCATGAGCGGGAAAACAAGCTAAGCGCAGCTGGCCCTTCAAGGCAAGATACGAGGAGGAGGAGGGGGAGGGAGAGCGGAGGGGAGGATGGGAGCAACTCGTATGCACATGCACACAACTTCGCCCGCTGGGTTCGAATACTATTCGTCCTGTGCGACGTCGCCTGTGCACTGCTCCACTCGTCCTGCGCGACGTCGCCGTCGCTGGCTGACCCAGCGTCGCTGTATCTGAGTGTCACGGGCTGGAGGTTCCCACAGCTCGCGTCGGTGACCTCTTGGGTCCCCCATCAGTGGCATCTCGAGGCCACCAGCTGGCGCTTTCTTGCTCGTCTGTCGATGATACTCGTAGCCTCCAGCCCCGTGGGCGACACGCTATCGCCTTGCAATGTGCAAGGCATAGCGTGTCTCTGGGAGTCATCCTGAGAATCTAGGCCTCCAAATGGGGTCCGAGTAGAGGGGGTCGGAGGATCGCGCCGCGTCGCCGACGCATGGACGATGCGGCTCGATGCGAAGCCTGATGTGCTGCGCGCTGGCGTCGCCGATGCACCGCCGACGTCGCCGATGCTGCCTCGGTGATGCATCGGCGATGCGGCGCGATCCTCCGACCCCATCGGCTCGAACCTCATCGACTGGGGGCTGCCAAGGGGGCCCCTGGCCCAGGGTGCCCCCAGCGTCTCGTTCCGTTTGGGGGGCCCCAGAAGGGGGGCTCCGTTTTGGGGGGCCCCTGGCCCAAGGGGCCCCGGGCCCAAGGTGCCCCCAGCTCTTCGCTCCGTCTTGAATTTGGGGGGGGGCCCAGAAGGGGGCCTCCTGGGCCTCGCCAGGGGTGCTCCGGAGCGCGCGGGGGCCTCCCGTGGGGAAATCATGCGGCCACCGGGGGCACTTCTGGCAGCACCCTCGTCGAGGAGGCCTCCGGCTGTGGAAGACGATCCATGGAGAGGAGGCATATTGCCAGATCATTTCCCCACGTCCCTCAGTGAACATTACGAACACATCGTCGATCCAGTGATAGGGCTGTTAGAGTGTCCAGTGTCGTGGCATCCGCAAGCCTCTGGAGAAGCGCTCCCCGCTCGAGCTGCGCCCCGCGCGAGGCTCTCGAGCTCGGCCTCCGGGGCCTCTTGGACCGTCTTCAACGCCGTGAACGCCGAAAAGCCGTGTGTGGTAAACATGAACCTCTCCCCATAGGAAATTCCGAATTTTGGCCTCCTGGTACGCCTCCTGGGACGCCTCCTGGGGGCCTCTTGGGGGCCTCTTGGGGGCTTCATGGAGGGCTCTCGGGGCCTCCTGCGAGGGGCGAAAGGCCAGACTTTTCGGTTCATGGTCTCCCTCCGAAGCCGCTCCGCGGGCCGCCCCCGCGGGGCCTCTCCTCTCTCTTCCCTCCCCGCGCGGGCGGCCTCGCCCGGTGCCCGGATAGGATCACGGCGCCCGGCTCCTCGCACAGTGGAGGGTCGGGCCTGGCCCCTCTGCAGGAGGAGTAGCCAGAAAGAGTCTAAAAATCGTCTGGAGGAGGAGGAGTGAGGAGGAGGAGGAGGAGGA